GCCCTAGCCAGCATAGCAGATAGTGAGGGATGATGGATGTTGCAGGGCATCAATCCCGGGAGGTCCACAGTCCCCATCCACAGTATAGAGCAGGAGTAGGCAGAAGGTAGATTGCCAAATATTTTAGCCATCAACTCTAGGAAGCCCCTGTATTTGAGGCTAATGGCCACAAAAGTTGGGAGTTGAGTCTAAGAATGTCTACTTTATGCACATGGCTGTGTTAGAAAAAGTGTTGAGCAAAATCACTTTTTAAAAAATCCCAGGTTGAAAAATGTGCAACTGTAAGATTGAAGCTGAAAAGTGAGTAAATGTCTTTCAGGGTCTACCGGATCTTTGCAAGTAATTTTCATAGAGAATCATAAATGCTCAATGCACTGCATACTGAATTGCAGAACATAAAGCAGCTCTACTTAGGTTAATAGTCAGTGTGTCACTGGCATACAGGTGTGTGTATGCACCCACACATGTACATTGGCGGCAAAAGCACAACATTCAGCTGAAGCATAATGAGAATGTGAGGAAGAGATCTTCTGCATCACGCCTGGAAGCACTGAAATGGTCCTAGGCCCAATTATGTTAATGGGCAATTCAACTGCAAATTGAATTGATGCCACGGACCCAAATGTGATGGTGTCGTTGCACCTTTTAGACTCGCTGGTTTACAGCAGCACAGAGCTGTATTTATTCTCCACGACGTGTTAAGAACATTGTGAGGGAGAAGGTGAGAATGACGGACTTCGCAAACCAAGTATGTTTCTGTGGCATGAGAGCACAAACTGGAACGCTGGGTGGCCTGATGGGAGTCATCTGGAGCCCTGTTCAGGATTATTAGTTCATGCAATTAATATGGGAGATGGCCAGTGGTGCTCCGTAATGGTAACCCCATTAGTTCATAAGGACTGAATTATTAGCCATGCATTACACCTGTCTGGAGTCTCTGCAGTATACAAGTTCACCCCCCACCCCCGTACACCTGCACAGATGCTGGAGGGGCGTGTTGCTATTTTCCTGGAAAAAGCCTGCCACGATCTCAAGTGTGGACTGGCACCTTGACAAGGAGACTTGCTACCAGGCCTGAAGATGCAGTCTTTGGGATTTTGGAGTCTGGGAGAATTCCTTGGGGGTGGGCAGTGACAAGACTGATTATAAAGACAGCATTCCTTTGTATCCGTTTCTCTAAAATATTTCCTTTTAGGACAGCTTCACTTTTGGCACCCCCAGTACATATTTTTCCTTCTTTGAATACACAGTCACACTTGAACATTTTCTGAAGATTAAAGGCAGGAATTTATTGCATGTTAGGAACAATTATCAGAAATTGTGCCCCGAGTAAACTCAGAGCACACTGTGTTTTTCACCTTTTAAAGACTGATTGCAACTTGAAATGTTTTTATAGATCCATTCTTTTGACCTCTTCTCTCATGAATGAATTAAATAAAGCTGCAACACTTCTCTCTTCTCCTGCCCATTCCCTGCTTTCCATTCCTCTTAGGACATCTTATTATTTTTTTCTCTTGCCATGTTTCCCATTTACCATGGAAACCATCCACAAAGCTTAATGGCAAAGATGTAGAGACTGGCCACATTCTCAAAATAACACTCCTGAGTCTTTGTACAGTGTATCAGGAGTCTGGAAACCTATAAATCGGCTTGGCTATCAAGCCACCACTCTACTGCAGTGACTACAGTCTCTTGGCTTCTCAGTTATATTTCCTGGTTTATCTTGTAGCAAAACAAATTAGTAGATACCCTGAACTAGCACAGCATGTTCTTATCTTGCCGCTTACCAGGATATAATATCCTTAAGCATGTCTGAAAAACATGATTTATTCACCTGCTGTTCCACTTTGAAGCACCTAGTTAAAGGTGCAATGTGCCGCATGCTCAGGCAGAAGAAAAGCCTGCGGCTCCTAGGACGCCCGTCCAGGCATGCTGGCTGTTGCAGCCTTTTGTTTCTGTCCAAACATGTGTAAGATTGCCTTCTAACCTGACCTGTCTAATTTTATCAATATACTTTATATAGCTTTCTTGCATTCTTTAGTACATTTTCTCCAAAGAGTCCAAGTTAAAGTACCTGATCCACTTCTTCAGTGTATCGTCACAACAACCCTGTAAGGTTGAGTTAAGGCTGAGAGTCAGTGGATAGCTCAAAGCCACCCCATGAGCTCCATGGGTGAGGGGGAATACAATGCAGATCTCCTGAGCCAGTCCAGCACTTCACTGCCCCACAGTGGCTTACTAAAAGTTATTCTGGTGGATCCAGAAATGTCTGTGTGAAAGGGCCACTGTAGATCTACTCCTATCCTATGTCCAGCGCAGGCATTCCTCCTGTGCATGAGAAAGTTAACAAGGAGATGAAGGTGCACACACAAGTCTCTCTCTCATTCCCCCTGAGTATGCAAACACTCTTAAAGACCTTTGTGTGTTTAGCACGAAAGTTTGAGCATAACCTGGCAGCTTCCCCACAGTTGGAAACCTGCCTTGCCAGAGTTCCTGCCCATGGGGAAGTTGTTTACTCATTTTCTGCTGATTGTTCCTTAACACCCTTGCAAACTTTCATGTTCAGCTCAGGAAGATCTGCAGAGCCAAGCACGTTGAGATGTTGGGGCTGACATGCAATGTGAACCCTTAGCTTTGTGGACCCCTGGGCAAGATGCTCTAATGTCTCCACCTGATGGGTCCACCTCCTTCTGACTTCCATCTCTGCTGTCTATTTACTTCCTTTCTCCTTCTGGATCAAATTTGTACAACTGCCAAGAAGGAGAACACGAGGCAGGCGAAAGGTGTTGTCTCACTTTGTCCATTCTGAAGAAGTCAGGTAAACAAGCCATGAAAACAAGAAGGTGGAGGAGGAAGCTGTCCGCCAATGCCAACTTCTGGCTCTTGCCTTGTTGCGAACACCCACCATGCTTTCCACCCTTGCTCATGCAAACTCAAAGCTCGCATAGAAGTCCAGTTGCTGCTTATTTAGTGGACCTGCAATCAAGAGAACACCTTCACATGTGATAATAGAGCTGGACATGACTGAGGGTTTAAGTTCCTCAAATCTCTGTTCATGCTTTAAACAGATTAAGATGCTTTTAATAATAGGACTGCATTCACTTTTTCACAAGTTAACCAGAGTAAGATCCCTTAGCTTGAAATACGGTGAAGGTGTCTCCAGATAACAAAACATGACTTAGAAGAAATGAACCTATTTTCTCCTGACCATGATGGCATTCAGCACAAGCAGAAAGGACCCGATAAGGCATTTATCATTTAAGTTGCTGCATTTCATATTAATACCTCCAGCTATGCACAACCAGTTTGGTGAGGTCTGTAGGACCTCATATTGGAATGCCTCCATCTTTTCCCTCTTTCCATATGTAACCTGTAAACAGGTGCTGGGCAGAAGGTAGTTCAAGACCTACCAACAGATGTGTGGCAAAGAAAGAAATCATTCAGGTCAGCAACAGGTTCCAGTGATTGAAATAAGCGGCAGGAAAATAAAGAAACTGTGGTGCTGAAATGAGGGAAGCTCGGGGAGCAGACTTTTTTGAGAGGCTCATGAGCTCCATTCAGTTCTTACACTGAACAACAAACTGCTGTGCTCAGAATGTGTTCAGGGCACATCCTGCACTTAAAAAATAAGTGCATTTCTTCTGCATCTTGGTGGATCTCAGAGGCTCTGATTTAAAAACAAAAAAGGTGTGACAAAGCTGAAATCTTGCCCATTCTCACTGCCAATGTAACTAGTGAGATTTGGCCACTTATAAACAAATATCGTCATACAGGTAATACAAAGCATATAAGAGAACAAAAGTTTCATCCCAGAAGAACTGAAAACTTCTCACTTCAGCAAGCATTCAGTAGAATTTATCTTTGGAATAGGAGCCCTGCACTTCTCTCTTGGCTATATCAGTCCTGGAGCAGAAATATTTATGACTGGCTTGAATCATGGATATATAGCTTTCAAAAGATTAAGCCTTCAAGTTCCCTGCATGAGACATGGTAGTTGTAAAGAAGTCAAGATTTTTGAGGAATGATGTACAATAAGAGGGTCTTAAATCCTCTAAAGATATCTTCTTTTTCCTTTCAAAAATCCCTCAGCACCATCTTCCTGTTCTACCATTGCTTCCTTGGAGTATCATCCACTAGCACTTGCCAAAGTGACTTGAGGCCTGCTCTAACTTGGCCCATAACACTGATGTTAAATATATGTGATGGCCATGTTCACTTGACACTTCTGAGGTAAAATTGTTCATGTGGTAAAATTGCTCACATCCTCAAGAAGTGGCATGGCTGCCAATCTGAGGGACATAAAGGGAGACTGAATGCATTCAGGGAAGAGAAGGCTATCAAGAGAAGAAGGTGCATGTATGGAATGCGCTCCCCAGAGAGGTCCGCCTGGCGCCATCGTTATTTGTTTTTCGGCGCCAGGCGAAGACCTTTTTATTTAAGTGTCATTTTAATTGTTAATATTATTTGCTTATTTTATCTGGCCAGGGCGACTTATTTTATATTGTTATTTCTTGTATTTTAATTTTATGTTGTGAGCCGCCCCGAGGCTTCTGCGAATGGGGCGGCATAGAAATGTTTTAATTAATTAATTAATTAATTAGGCCTGATGTGCTCTGTGCTACCTCCAGTGTCAGATGCTGTATGCCTATGTACACCTTTGCTGGGGAACTTGGGCTGGAGGGTGCTGAGACACTCACGTCCTGCTTGTGGATTCGTTTTGGCAGTTGGTTGGTTGCAGGGAATGAATGCTTAACCCGACCAACGATTAGTCTGACTATTGCTGCAGCCTCAAGTACGCAGTTAGGAGTTATGGAGGAAAATGGGTACTGCATGTTTGTCCTTCATGGGTCCGTTACATCTAGAAGATGGGGATTGACTGATACCATGCTGTTCTTTTCTAATGTTTTTAATGCTGCTTGTTTAGTTATATTTATATACCTTCTTGTAATTAATGATGAAGAGCAGTCTAGAAAACTTTAAAATATTTCCTCTGATTTCAGGTATCCATCAGTCAGCAACCTTCAGGAAGAGGAGTGCCTTGTTTAAAATGCAAAGGCATGTGCTCAGGCTTCGACCCACATTCTTGGAGGTAATGCATTTACTGCTACTTGGTTTCTGGTTTTGCTTGATTTCCCTTTTAGTTTATCTTCTGGCTCGCAACTATGTATGGTCAAATGTCCATTGTGCGGCACAGGAAAAACAGCTCTGTCTGACTCCATTCAGAGCAGTAGATCTGGTCTTGTTCCTGATTTGCAGTGTCCATTTTGCAGGTATGCTACCATACCATGGAGGTCGCTGGATGTGAAGAGGCTAACCGTGCTTTCTTAGTGCTCTTGCAACTAGTAAACGCAACTGTATTGTATTTTCCTAAGTAGTCAGCGAGTTGAATCAAGGATCTGCCTTCTAGGGGAGGAAGGGCTCCAGCTGTGGAAGGTCTCCCCTGCCATTTTGAGAGATTTCCATCACCTCATCTTTGAGGATCCGAGCCTCACAATTCACTCCCTGCACCAGTGTCCCCTGACTCACTGTGTAACATTTTTAGGAAACTGCTATGGGAAGGAAGACTTGGGGACAATAACTTCTCCTAGCACAGTTGATCCAGCTTAAATACAGACTCACTCAAAGTGCAGTGTGCATTTTCTCAATAACTCTTAAACAGTACTGTAAATATTGATGGAGTTACGACGTGAGAAAGTACAACCAGGCAGTAAATCCATAAGTAATGTAGCACTTTGAACTGATGACTTGAATTAAGCGTGAATGTGTTCATGCTGCGTTAGACATGGCCACACAGTCATTTTGCCATAATGAATACATCAAGGTAATTATAAACTGAAAACAGGTCATACCAATTATTCCTGCATACAGAGCCAGCCCTCAATCCTGAGTGCTTTCCACTATGCTGAGGTCAAATAAATTAAGGCCACTCTCCTTCCTTTGTACTTAGAATTCTACTATTGGCCTGTTTTCAATGTTAGCTGCTTAGAGAGCCCTTGCACGGCTCAGAGGCCTGCAAATTTGAAAATAAATAATGTGGTAGAGCTGCTTCTGTGAGCATCTTTCAGTGGGCACTGTACATCCCATAGAAAATGTTGGTCTCCCTATCCTCCTATATATTGTATAAACCAAGTACCAGCCTTGCATTCTGTCACGTAACAGTGACTGAGATGCCCCATTCAAGCTGTAAATTTGCACTGAAAAGTCCTTTTATTTAGCCACTTGTGGGAAAATGAACTTAGTAGGCCTTTGGGCAGCTGGCTGGATTGTATATGAACATCACTATGCTACTTAAAGGTATTGCATTATCTCTTTTCTTTGTTGTCAATGTAAGTTCTTCAGTTGTACAGAATTTAGCATTTCAGCTGGTAATCTTCCGTTTTCTGCTTTTATATTGTTAAACTGTTCTTTGTCAAAAGGTCAACCAGTGTAATTGTGTATCTCTGGCTTTTTGGCCCTTCTGATGGTGGGTAGCAGTTAAGACATTCCAGTCAAAGGACACCAGTCTTTTCTGTAGTGATGTCATCTTTAAAAATGTCACATTCCTTGAAGCCTCTGCTCCCAAGAGAACAGTTTGGAAGGACTTGAGTAACCCACTGAAATAGAACTATTTCAATCTTTTGATATTTCTATCAAGCCAGCATTCATATACACTCAGGCATGTAGTGGATTCATTCTATTTTGATTTCAGTGGGAAAACATTTTTGGACCAATGATCCAAGATGAACATAAAAATGTAGCACCATTCCTGCCTCAATTTAATCTTGCACACAGATGAGGTTTCTCCCACAAGAATGACATCTTTGTTGCATGCTGGCAATGCAAGGATTTCTAAAAGCTGGAATTTCTTAAAGACGCCTTTCTCTGCCTGTGCATTTTGCTAGTTTATAGGTTGTTCTTGCTAGATTCCAAGCCAGCCTCTCACACCCTCTTCAGTCTCTTACTGCTTCCTGTATTCTTGGTCAATGCTTGTGGTTGGGATAGATGCTTGGGTCCTGAATTAAAAGGAACGGTAGAATCACAATTCCAGTTAATCAATCAGGTAAAGATCAGAGTGATTGCCCCTGCTGTTGCTCTCAAGGATTTCCTAACTCCTGTCCCAAACATCAGGAATAGGTGTGCTCTTGAAGTATTACACCCTCTTCTGGAGTTGAGGAGTGGATGTTGATCTACTCTGCACTACAGAGCTGCCAGTAATACGAAGACACATAGGATCAGCTGAAGCTCCACTAAGAAGCTTTGCACACCAGCCCTTGTTTCATGAAAGCAAGCCACAGATAAAGTACAGCATAAAACTTCATTATGCCAACTATGTGACGAGCCCAAATAACAGGAAGATTCCAACACACACTTTCAAGTGATACAGTCCAGGTTTGCTTGAAGATTTGCCCTTCAAAAATGAGAATTACCTTGCCGGGGGAGGGGGGGTTCATGCAATGGAGGTGTGAATAAGTATTGTTTCCTTCTGTGATGAGCCTTTGCTAGAATTTCACTGTGGTTATGGGTTATGCTCCCAAGGAGATCCAGAGCTAAAAGGTCCTGCAGCTTTAGGTATTCAAAACCTGCCTGTTTTTCAAAAACCCCAGGACTACTGGTGATGTGTTCACCCAAGTGGTATGTTTGTTTTTATTGGAAACAGCCTCAAGCCTTTAAGAAATGGGGTTAAAATGCTTTAAATAAACCTGTAATTAAACTTGGCCCTCACTAAGATAAAGGTGGAAGTAGAAATAAAGTGAGAGGGGGCCTTTATTTAAATAATTGCACAAGTTCGGAGTGGAATGCACTATGTAATTTTCCAGGATATTTCATTCCATTCCCCTTCCCTGGTTTTTCATTTCTTTCCACTACACCCATTCAAAGTTCTGTGACTAGTGACCGGGGGGGGGGGGGGGGGGGGGGGGGGGTCTTCCCATTAGAGTTGTTTGCAAAGTCAGAGTTCTCCAGGCTTGCCAGTCCCTCCCTTATGTCAGTGGATGGTGCTGTTTTGGCTACATATTGGAGAATGAGTTAATCATTGGCATGCATCATAAATACTCTCTCACTACTCTGAGGAACATATTCCATACATGCAACAGGATTCTAGCCCTAGTTGCTCCTCATGTATGCCTTTGTGTGAAGATCTGTGTGTGAGAGGTCCTGGGTCCCCCCACACTGGGGGCATTCAAGGGGCATTTGGACTGCCATGTGTCAGGGATGCTTTAACTTGGAGTCCCACATTGCGCAGGGATTGGACTTGATGGCCTTATAGGCCCTTCCCATTCTGTGATTCTGCACGCTGCACTCATAGCTCTGCAGGGCTATTCTGTGCATGGGCTGGTTAATTCTGGCAGAAGAAAAAAGCCAGGGACAACAAAGGATACATGTCAGAAACATCCATTTCGAACTTGTGCAGTGCTCTGCTAATGAGGAGTAAACCACGGTTCTTCTTGTTCTCATCTACTGAGAGGTTGGGGGGTTTTTTGGTTTCTTTCTTCTTCTTTTTTGGCTATAACTTCCTCTAAACTTGGCTGTGACCAAGCAAGACACTATAAAAAAAGTCCAGTGCCCCTAATAGCTACATTACCTACAAGTGATACTATCACTGAAAAAAGATGGGCTTCATTTCACTTAAAATTGTTTTTACTATGTGTACCACTTCGAGATGTGGTTTCGGAAAAGCTTTTAAAAAGAACTATCTGGATTAGAGTAATTGGGATATTGATTCCATTTGCTACAAGCAATGGTGCCAATACATCATCCTATGCACATAAAAACACATGCTTGGCTTCACCTACATTATGGCTACTCTAAAGCCAGGAAATGCTTTTTAATAACCATGATGGCATTACCTGCTGTTAATGCAATGAACTGCAATATATAAAATGTGAATGAATAGACTCTGTGGCTTATGATCTGCAAAGGAAAGGAATATAAAACAGACTGCTTGGATCCAAGCTCTGCAAACCCATCCCAAGTATCTTGTAAATTTGCTGCTGTTTGGGACAACTGTCTCTTCTTCCCAGCTGCTTTGCTTGGAGGTAGTCATAGCTGAGAGACCATTGCTGAATGCAGAACAGATTCACAAGGTCCCAGGGCCAGCCCTGGCATCCTTAGCTGAAAGGATATTGGCTCTGTGGGCTAACAAAGAACACATTTTCCTGAAGCCTGTGAGAACTGCTGCCAGGGTGGGCTTGCAACTGTGAATGAATTTCTGCTTTCTTTGGGGCCATGGGTAGCCATGCATCCCCTCCAAATCTACTGGCCAAGAGGAACCAGTGGGCTTACCCAATACAGGGTCATTTTCAGCAAAAAATAGTGCTGGGAGTGGTATAATTCCCTGGCTGGCAATCAATTTTGCAAGAAGGTAAATTTAGGAAGCAAACAAGACATGTTGGCCCTGAGTGACAATTGTCCTGCCCTAAAGCAAGTTTTGTTGCCACAGCCATTACTTTCTCTATGCCTTTAGTTAGGAATTGGAGAGCATTTTTCTAGGTGCTAATTTTAATCCAGCTACTTCCAGAGTTCACCTGTGCTATGGCTGGGTTTGCAGGGTGTTCTGCAGCTAACTGCTTTCCCTGGTATGGGGATAGTCACTGCCTAATCCAGTTTGCATTTGTGCCCGTGACAGAGCGAAAGTCATCAAAATTCAGACTGCGGGGTTCTTTCACTTAATGTACAAGCAGGCTTTCAGGACCAAACTTCTGGGATAGCACTTGGAAGTCTACTGTATTTCATTTTGTTTTATGTAGAACAGAAAAAACATCACCTAAGCCAGCTATAAAATACATAATAAATAAAACTCAGGAAAGCCATAAAATATGAGATGGGGAGGGGTGATCCATGAGGACGAGTAAGCTAGCTAGGTTCAGTTTCCAAACGAGGTTGGAACCTGGACTAGAACATATCAAAGTCAGAACTGCTTAGACTTTAAAGCCACCCCATGTGCTAATCCCTTGCAGAGGAAAAAACAAGGCAAACAGCATACCCGGTGGTGGTCATTCAGATCACCCGGATCCACGGCATGTTTGCAACTGAATGAATTACTGCTCTCTTTAGAGCCATGGGTAGTCAGATGCTCCCTCTGAGAGGCATTATGGGGTATCAGGCTATATTTAATGTTATCCTCATAACAACCACCCTGGTTATTATGGGGTAGGTTGGGCTGAGAGTCTGCAACTGGCCCAAAATGATCCACAGAGAGCTTATGGTCATGAGGGGACTAGAACCCAGATCTCCCGAGCCCTAGCCCAGCATTCTTACCACTACGGCACTCCAGATCTCAGTATGGTATATCTAAAGATTTTAAATGCTTGCGCACAAAGATTCACAAAGCATATACTGGACCATTACATGGGACTTCTTCTCTCCTTGAAGTGTTAATGAAGTCCTTATTTAGGTATCTTCTGTTCAGAGAGCTGCCAGAGAATCGTCTTTCATTTGAAGGACTGTCATGGTGGCTAAGGTGGGTTTAAAGATAAAGAACCATATGAATTGTTGACCGTAGACACTTAGCGCTGGAAGAGTGGGCTGATCAGGCGGACTCACTGATTGCCATTTTCCACACTATGGTGAGATGTACTGGATTTCTATGTAAATTGCAATTTGTAAATTGGTATCTATACCTATAAATTGGGTGGATTCCGAGGGATGGTGGAGCACAGGAGAGCCTGGAGGGACGTTGTCCGTGTGGTTGTAATGGGTCAGGCACAGCTTTGCGACTAAACAACGACGTATAAATTAGCGTGTTCACCTGTTATATAAACCACTGCCCCCTTCTGATTTCTTTCATCAGTGACTCATATGTGGTCACTCAAAGACCCCAACAAAGGAGGTTCAATGCTACATCGGCTGTGTGTGAAAACGATGGGGGTACCCTTGTAGTCATACCCCTGTTATCCTATTAAGGCTTGCTCCCCCGCCCCTAAGTCTGCTACTGCACTGACTTGTTTTCAGAATGATTTTGTTCTTCAGAAAGAACCTCTCCAGCACTTGAACTGGCAGACTGTGTCTTAGATAGTGCGTTAACACAGCCAGAAGGCTGTGCATCAGAGAGAGCGCCTCTTCGTTTCCATTTAGTATGAATTTAACCTCCGGAGACCTTGGTGATGCATTTGGCAGCCTTTACAGTTCAACAGCTGACATGCGAACCATGCTGGACCAAGCCCAGGGTCATCTCAGCCACCATTCTGCTCGCCTAGCAGCCAGCCGGCTGCCTCACAGGCAGGGCATGAGTGTGACGGCAGGCCGCCCTTGTTCCCACACACCTGGTCTCCCTGGATAGACAGCCTCCAGCACAGGAGCCAGCATGTGGCCACCATATTGTCACGGACAACTACTAGTCATCGATCCTTTCAGCATAGTTTAAATCATCTTGTGCCTCCAGTTCTCTTACACCTCCTTTCTATGCTTTTCAAACCTATTTAGGACAAAGAATTGCTTCTGTAGAAAGGAATTTGTGGACAGGCATTGAAATGGTTTCTTGGTTCCCTGCAATGTTTTTTTTCCTGAAGCTTCTACATGCTATTTTTACTTCATAAATGAAATGTAATCATACTGACTTGATGTACCTTGGAAGGGGAAGAGACTGGAATCCTGAAGAGAAAGGCATTTGCCCTGCTCTGTAATACTAGCGCTCTTTCTGAATTGAACTTTGGCACGATCACTTGAAAACAAACATTCTTCTGTGGCATTAGCCAATTGGACAAAACAGCCACATGATTGATCTTTATTTGTGCAACAGAGGAGAGAGGGAATGATGCCAAAGTAATTATACTCCACTCACAATCTAGCATCCCAATATCGCCTATGGGTTTCTATGCTGTAATAGCGTTCTCTGCAGGTAAGAGCCACTGGCTCCCAGATATAATAATTTTGACACAGGTTAAGAAAATCTGGTCTTTTGATTTGCCATCAAACTTGGAACTGTTTAGCACAATAATTGTTTAAATATAGTCTGTTTGCTTTCCTGTTGCTGTCCGGCAAAGTTAACATGGCTATGAAAGGGCACTTCTAAAGACTTGCTTCAGTAGTTCTTCTTATTCAATAGCATAATCTTTCTTTTTTTAGCACTGAATATCTTGTTTGGAATATGTGTTGCATTCATACTATTTGTCCTTCCAAGACTGAATAATACTCTGCAGTGAGGCAACTGAGTACCAAATCTAAAGACAGGTCAATAAATAAGCTAAGGTCTTATTTACCAGGCAGGTAGGTGATTTCCAGAATCTGATTTCAGCCAGTGTCAAAACACAGGAGAACAGTTAAATAAAAATATGTATCCAAAGCCAGACACAAGCAGCAGTCCATAGCATGAAGTTTCAGTCATAAAGCAAGGAAACACAAGTGCTAGGAGCTGAGGTAAGGTTGTTTCTAACAGCTCTGAAGTTCCAGCTGAGAGCTGAAATAGCTAGAGCTTCCACAGCCCCACTCATTGTTCAGCTGAAGTTCATTGCCGGCTTGTGTAGAACGCCTATTCATGAGAAGCCCAATTTTGGTGGCCACAGAGGTGTGCTTTCTGGCACCACAGTGTTTATGGCCAGGTAGATGCTCGGCCTCCTTCTCAGGTTCTGTAGGGGGTGGGTTGCATGGTCCTCAGTGCCCCACCTGGGCATCCTCAGGATCCACTAGCACTGGTGGACCTGATGTAACTTCTCTGGTGGTGCTAGGAGGTCTCGTATTAGGGATGATGTGCTGTGGAGTTGGAATCTACAGACTCCAAATAATCATCCCTTTACAAGCTCATGTAACTGAGTAGCTGCATTCACAGGAACTTGGAAGGTGTTCACAGAACCTTAGATCATTGTGCCCTGTCAGTCCCCCACCCCTTCCTGGGCCCCTACACTGTCATTTTTTAACAGTGTTATATTCCACACCATTGCAAATTCCTATAGTCCTCTCTTCTCCGGATAAAGTTTCTGCCATCGGAGGTCTTTTGTTCCATGTCATAACCCATTTCAATATTTAACCTTCAGTGTGCTTTCTAAAGTTCACTCTTGAGCCTCCCAAAGAGCACATACCTATTGGGATCCAGCATGTATGAAAGGATGACTTCATTTGTCTCCCACAGGAAAATATGCAAGTTATGCAAATGCAGTCAGGAAGATCATTGCCTGAGCTCTGATGCAGAAGACGATCGGAAAATTGGCCGCTTGCTCTCCAATTCCAAGTACTCTTCTTTAACTGCCCGGGTGAAAGGAAGTGATGGAGTACGCATCTATAAAAGAAACCGCATGATCATCACTAATCCTATAGTGACACGGAAAGATCCAACTTTTAACACTATTACATATGAATGGGCTCCACCTGGACTGACTCAGAAACTGGTAAGATCACTTCCGCAAATGTGCCAAAAGCCTCCTTGACCATCATGTTGCTGAAGCATTCCAAAGCTCCTAGGTCTAACAAGATGTCACAAGACAGAACTGCCATTCCCATCTGTCTGTCTGTCTGTTGCCATTAATTTCTTGAATAACACACCCAATTATGGTTCATATCCTGTGTGATCAGCAGCCATTACTGAGCATATTACAAGGTTCTTAACTAGAAGAATTGGGAGAGAGTTCCATTCCACTCATAAATAGTTGTACCAATACTTGTACTGATGGAGCAAAAGTAGCACTTAACATTTGGGGCTGACTGGGGAAAGATACAAATATGCCTAGGCTTCACCCCATGTGTTATGTCCTTTCTAAAGAAGTACATTTTATACCTAGAACATGGGCATCCATGTTATTGATACCAGCAATAATATAAAGTGTTGGTGGATATCTACACTTAACTGTGTTCTGTGGAAAAGCTTGTGTAGATCATACAGTCTTTTCTAAAGAGGAATTGCATGTAAAGCTAATGTCCCCACCACTACTAAAAATAAAATAAAATTTGCTACAAAAATAATTTTCTAAGGAAAACCATAGCCAACAGAAATTGTTGGTCAATTTGAAAGAGTTACCTATTCCCTGTGAGCATTTGTACCTCTTTTTCTAATTTGTTCATGAAAGAGATAATACCTTGTGAGTTGTTTGTTTTCCAAATATATGTCTGTGCACTTAATCACCATAGGTTTTGGGTATGATCTCTGTGTTGAAGCAAATGAAGTCTAAATCTACTCATCTTGTAAGAACAAGGTCAGAGAGCTAGAAGCTGATGCTATTTCCACATTACAAGACCATATTCTTGACTAAAATACATTACTCTAGAATTGGCAGTATTTGGCTTTTGCTGCCAAAGCCAATTGTGCCCACAGCAAATAGCAGTGGCCAAGCAAGTCAATCCACTAAGTTGACAACATTCTATACTGAGTAACAAAAGTGGCTAAAGACCCACATACATTGGCATGAGTGTTGGGAGCCTAGCACAAATAATGCCTTTTGGTAGTCCAAACTGGATATAACTGCAGGACAGCAAATGGACAACGACAAAGCTTGTATTCCATTTCCCCCTCTACTGTTCTGTTACCCATCCTAGTTATAGTACCCAAATGGTAAACTATAATTTGGTACCTAAAGCCATAAGGCCTCTTCATGTTGTCTTCCAATGGGTTTGTAGTATTTCCCAAACAACTTGCTCTCATTTAAACCTGACTGATGACCAAGACCTACTGGAGCAGAGGAGTTTTTATTTATTTATTTATTTATTTATTAAAACATTTCTATGCCGCCCCATTCGCCGAAGCCTCGGGGCGGCTCACAACATTAGGTTAAAATACAAGAAATAACAATATAAAATAAATACAAGAAATAACAATATAAAATAAGTCGCCCTGGCCAGAGTTCAGATGTAGTGCCCAGAGATACAGAGATTTTGCTGACCACAATCACCCAAAGAGCATGAACAGACTCCATAATGCATGTGTTTCCTAAACCCGTGTAGGAAGGATAGTGTGAAGCACTTCTGTGAGAAGTTAGATGATACATGGACTCTGAAAGCCAAGGCCTGGAAGCCACCTTGCATTTGGCTACATTGACGATTTTAGAACATAATGTGTGAATGGACATTTTTAGTGAAAGTGTCAGTTCTGACAAAATTCCAGAGAACGGTGTGCATTCCTTGATGTTTGAGCTGAGGAAGCGCTCTCAATAATCCCCATTGGTGAACTGTTTGGAGTTCAATGTTGAAAGATTTGCTGTTTCAAACTCCATGTGTTTTATAACTGATGAATGATTATTTTCTTGTTCTACTATTTGGAGGTCTTTCCCTTCTTGAAACTAAACAGCTGAGTTTTGGATAAAAATTGTGTTCTTACTGATGCTTGGAAAGACCTATGGGGCTTTTCTATCTGAAAGTAAAATAGGTGTCTGTTCTATATTGGCTTTATTAGAAAATAGGGTACATCTGTGAAATATTTGAATTTGGCAAGCTAGTCATTAGTATCTGGTGCCTTAGAACCGACTGAAAGCTGAGGGTGTTCCATGAGCTGGAGAATACAATGGATCCCCCTTGTCTTGGCTAAAAAAGGAAGTCCACAGATATATCCCTCTGGCACTGTTGTTGCTCTGCTGTTGCTGCTCTGGAAGTGAAAGGAAAGGGAAGGCTCTGGAATGATGGATATCAGGAGGGATCAGAGCAAGACTTGGACCGCAGGCACATTTGGAACCCTGGAACTGACATACTATTTTTCCCTCCCATTGGAACTAATAGACATTAAAACCAAAAGAATGCTATTCATCCACTAAAGAGTCTTCCTCCCCACTGGATTGTTCTGCCTGTTTATTAAATCCCCTGTCATGTTTACTTTGAAAATCTAGATTTTACATATAACAAAAACTGTTCTAGCTTTAATCAATGCAACATTTTTCTCCAGCTGAAAGCTCAACTATTGAAAGAAGTTGCACATGAATTTAACACTGCTCTTCTAATTGTTGACAGGATTTTTCTATAAGCAACAGAGATATGTACCTATAGATATCACAGATTTAGAATTAGATATCTGAATCTTCTATGGATCTAGTGATTTCTCTAAGTCTGTGTTGCTTAAGGAAAAATCATGTTCTGCTAATTGCTGATTCCTTTCCCTCTATGCTTTCCAAATAAACTAACCTGAGTTCAGAGAATCAACGTGCCAGTGATGGGTCAGTGCTCTGGTCTTTCCTTGGCTAATGTCAAGTGGTGATGCCTAAGACAGAAACAGAAAAGGTCAGTAAGAGGAAGCTTATATAAGAAAGTACCATCCTAGAGTTGCTTGGGATGACCTTCTAAAGTTACAGTTCAGCTGAAACCTGCACGTTTGCAAAAGTTTGTCACTTGAAAGACATTTAATTGGGATTCTTGGAACACCCATCAACCTACTGTAGCATGTCTAATTCCAAATATATCCAGAGGTTTATTGCCAGATTGTTCTAGGATTGTCCCAATACTCTTTGAAGCAAATACGGTGCTCCTAGACTGACACGGGAATATGTAAAATTATTTGGTAGATAGGGTAATTGAGTGGGTGATCCAGGAATCTGAAACAATTAATCACAGATATCCTACCTGGCTGTAATATTGATCTCTGCTTGCTGATACTGCATATCATGAAAAAATATATTCATGGACAGGGCAATTAATGGCTTGATCTCTGAGGTGAAAAGTTCTAGATCATTGTTCCGTATACCTCAAAGTAAAACCTTTCAGTTTTGACTTCTCATTGTTGTTAATGCTTGAATCTAAGTGTATTCTGATGTGTAGGTATCCACATTTAGGTCCACATAGTCTACAAGAACTGTAGCACAGTTGGACTGGACTGCTAATAAGCAGAATTTCTTACATTAAATTTGTTGTGTTCCTTCAAAAAATTGGAATATGAACTGGTAGACCCTGGTGTGTATCTCCAGAGAAGATCACTTGATGAACTGCTTCGTGTGTGAGACTAATTCATTAGTGATTTGACTCCTGAATGGGTAGAGTTGCACCAGGGCAGGTAGATGTGCCACCTTGTTCAGGTTTGCCACTTCTGCATTACATAAACAACCTGGAAACATGGTGATAAGCTCTGGGTTAGAGCTCTGCATTAAAAAGCCAGGAACAGGGTGTTCTGGGTTGTTCGTGGCAGCTGATGCAAAGTGGGGGTGGTGACTGGGCAGGAGGAATGCCTGAGTTTGAGACCACTAAGCCCACCTAGCTGTGGGTAGTTTAACCCACATTTAGTCATTCTGTGTAAACTATGCACCTTTCTGTTAGAGAGAAGGGAGCAAGGAAAAAAGTTCTCTTCAGCAAATTTGCAAAAGAGGGTATATTGGTAGCTTAGATATCTAAAATGATTATTTGGCAGCATGGCTATTTTGATTCTCCCTTTTCACTGATAAAACTCCTGTCATTCAGCTATTACACTTCCTTTTTTTAACTGCCCAGACAGCCGCAGCTATTGGGCAGTATACAAATAAGTAAGGAAATGATCTCAATTTCATTAAGAAATTGTTTGTGCCATCAGAAAAAGTAGGTGATACAGGCTGTTTGGAATATGTCAGTTCGCAAAGCCATGCGATGACATTGGCAGTGAACCATTTCTTCTTCACTGCAGCTCCTGTTGCCGCCTGATTCTGCCTGGTCCAAAACATTCTGCTGGCATTCAGCTATGGCTCCATCCCCTCTCCTTCCATGCATACTTCTCTAGGTCTGCTTCGGGTGGACACTAGGGAGCTTGGCATTTAGTCATAGTCATTTCAAGCAGGTACAGCCCTTCCCCCCTTGCACTGGGGTGTCAGGTAGGATGGAAGTAATGAGCTTCCCAGTTCATCTTTTGGTTAAGCATTCAACAAAGTTTTTGGGACCTAATAAGTGGCAGCTATAGTGCATCTTCTATATATAACCTGGTTATTTCAGAAAGGACGACCTATCCTTGATAAAACTTGTGTACCCTTCAAAGTTATACACATATCTAGCGCACATAATTCACATGCTTTCTTTCAAATTATATCTGGACTGTACTCAGTGCACTCCTTTTGTCTTTATATCTTACAGCCCATAATATTTTGAGTTTGATGCTAGAAATCTCATTTAAGGGAGTAATTGTTGACCCTAAATGCACTTGCTCATTTGGTCAGTCAAACAAGTCCTTGTGCATGGCAAGGGAACCTTCCATGCCCAGCATTTGTGGCTCATTGGCTCATGTATGAAATCCAAAGTTGTGTCCTTCATAGGCAGAATGCAGGCTCTGGCCAAGTACCCCATGCTAGGGACACAGCTAGGGAAAGAAAAACAGAGCATAAAGCATCCTTTGTGACTGAGGCAGTGGCTTAGTCTGTTTTTCAATCTTCAGTGCCATCGGACTGGAGTTTAATGCGTCCCTAAAATCAGGTCAAGCATTCCTTTCCATGCCCAGTATTTGGACTTCACTAACACAGTTATAAGAACACATGAGAATACAATCAAGATCTCTGGAATACATTTAAGCAACAAAGGGCCTTTTAGGAGAAAAAAATTCAACTACTTGAACAGATTTAGCTATGTGCTGTGATATCTACACTATCATACGTATTTTTAGTACAATAGTTTTTTCATCTCCAAAGTGAGTGAATTATGATTATTTCTAAGCTAGGTCTCAAAACTGTGTTCCACATGCCTAGAGAGGGATTTGGAAGTAAAATGCTCACTATTCAACAAATCAGAGACAGATTTTAAATTCAAAACCATCATCTTTCATATCTTTGGGAAGAGAATATATGTTTATGTTTGCATGACTTTATTCTTTAAGTAAAGAATTTAACTAAGCCATGTTCATAATATATGTACTACATCTGATAAAAATGGCCTAATTTGTTGGTATTTCTAGCTATTCTAGTCCAAAGCTTCAAATGCTAGAAGTGTTGTGCTTCCCATTCCTTCACAAACATGAACATAAGTGAAATGTTTGTAAACCCAGAACTAGGTAGCATGGTGGGTGATACAGTGAACTATAAGGACAGATAACAGTATAACCTGATGAATTAAATACTGCTAAAGTCAATTTGTCAGAAATCCAGTTTTAATGATAAAAGGCTAGAGATTGTTCTAAATAAGTTTTACAGTGCCATGACCCCATTCTGAATGGACCAACGGGCTTCTAATATTAGGATGTAGAGACAAAAGGTATGAATGGAACTATAAGAAAAAGAAGATGCCAGATCAGCCACTCCAAACCTGGTATACACAAAATGTGTTGATCCTCAACTCTCAACACTCTCCTTCCAACATACCTGGGGACAGCAAGGGTAAATACTGCACAAAATCAGCATTTCACCTGTGAATTCAATATCCAGACACACGGCAATGATACAGAAAACAAGTGCTAAAAGCAAACTGGTTTTTTGACAGGGTCATATTATTTTGCATATGTATGCCCTTTCATAATCTGGGGATAGTCTACCACAAACATCATTTCCAGTACAAGTGGTTACTCAGTCAAGTGCACATCCTACAAAACTTCAGCATCGATGTTAGGACCTCGGTGTGCCAGTATAGGATTTGGAGGTCAGTAGTCCTAAAATAGAGAAAACATTGGCTTTGGAATTGTTGTATATTGTTGGTCAAAAGTGGAAGAGATGAGAATAGAAAAGTATGTTATATAATATAAATGTATTATAGGCCATCCTGAGACAATTGCTTTGTAGATGGGGTATGAGGCGAGACTGAGGGAACTGGGTCTCTTCAGCCTGGAGAAGAGGAGACTCAGAGGGGATCTGTTGGTAACATACAGGTATGTGAGGGGATGTCACATGGAGATGGGTAGAGACCTGTTCTCCCCTGCAGAGGAAGGCAGGACGCGCTCCAATGGAGCAAAGCTCAGGGAGCCAAGGTTCCATTTGGATGCCAGGAAGCACTTCCCGACAGTCAGGACCCCGAGGGTGTGGAATGGGCTTCCCCGGGAGGTCGTTGAGGCCCCATCGGTGCAGGTGTTCAAGGATAGGCTGGACGTCCACATGGTGGGCATGTCGTGAGCGGAGCCGGCTGGTGCCGGAGGTCAGACTAGATGGCCCAGAGACCCCTTCTGACTCGCTCTGTTTCTGTGTATATGATGGAATAAAAATATTCTAAATAAATGTTCCCTTCAACACAGGACTATGTTACAATAGAAATTATTTGTATTCTAGAAGTAACTGAAGACCTGTGCATAAAATAACGGAGGGAAAACAGGTTGCTCACTTCTAGCTATAGTTCTTCAAGTGGCTGTCTGTTCATTCCCCCTTGTGGAGCCTTGGTCGATAAACTTCTCTACCTGAGCATTTAGGCAGAAACCTTTCCCACCGTTACAGCACATGTATCCTTAGTGGGCTTCTGCTTATTCCCTCAGTTCCCTGAGAAGGCTAATTCTGGCCTCAGCCTCAACTTAGTACTTGCGTTGATGCAGATGCTGATACAATGGCTTTTGATTAGCTTGTGCGCAGTCATCAAACCCAAGCAGATCATCAATGAAGTGGGGAGGGAAGGAGCGGGGGGGGGGTGTGAATGACTACTTGCTTCTGTTCTTCATAGTCTCTGTGCATCACACAAATGGCCAGATAACAAGCCAAATGACTTACTGAAGATAACCAAGATGTAATCATTGTAATACAGAAGAGAAAACTGTCTAACCAAAAGTCAGCTTGGAAGCACACATCCAGTGTGTAATCCTGCATAAATATTGGTTTATTTGACCTAGTGGCAGCATGACACAGATCAAGCAGATTAGATACCCTTCCCAAACTCAACACAGGTAGTAATTCTGCATGCTGAATGTGCTTTCAGCAGGCCTAAGAGTCCAAGTCCCATAAAGCACATGCTAGTTTGAGAGTTTGGAGAACCCAAGATGCCAGTCCAACCGTCAATATGAAATAGGGTGATTGTTCTTTCATCAGGAGTGGCACTTTGCAGGGAAGGATCACTAGCGATGGACAAATAGGCTTTCCAGGAGATTTGTCCTCCATTACTCATCTGAGGAACAAGTCATGTCCTTCTGAGTGCCTTTAGGGCTCCCAGAGCACAGTTGAAAAACAAAGTCTAACCTCAGTGGTTTTCAGTCTTGAAGTTATAGAGGGTTGTCACAGTGGTAAAGCACATTCTTTGCATGTGGAAAATTCCAGCTTCAGCCTTTAGCACGTCCAGGTAGAGCTGAAAAATTCTTGCTAGACGCCCTGTACTTGCACTGGCCTAATTTTATTCAATGAATTCTGCCACTCTTCTTTTTTTGTATGACTAAATAGTTATATTGGATAGACACTGCACCTAATTGTATCAAGAGGCCTCAGGTTGAATTGATCCGTGACTGATTTTGCTGGTGCAAGTGGACCATGCATTTTGTTTAAAAGCTCAGTGAACAGATCTTCTATTTAAGGTCTAACTGCTTAATTTAGCATATTTCATTCAGCTAATTTTCCCTGGCTGGCATTTATATTAAAGCAAGCAAGTGTGTGCATGCATGCTTGCCACACACATGACAGTGTGTGTGTGTGTGTGTGTGTGTGTGTGTGTGTTCATTAGGTAACTGCTGACCATGGTGAAAACACTTTTAATGTAGCTGGAAGCAGGTCTCTTAAAAAGAATAGCCAACTGACTATCTATGAACAACTCATGCTACAATGCGGAAATGGTCCCTCTCTCTTCATCTCTATTCCATATATAATTTAACTGGGCTGACAGCATCCACATGTACATGCTACTTTAGAATGAGGCCAGCTTGTAAGTACCAACTGCTAATAAAAAAGCCAAATGAAAACTGAATGCCAGTTGACATCTTTGGATGGGGTTATGCAACTCCGTGAGAGATCAGGTTCATAGCTTTGGAATGCACCTATAGTCTGTGCTGCCCTTGGGTTAGACTTGGCACAATTCAGCTGATGCATCTTTTGAGCTTTTCTTTCTACATCTGGGTCTGCTCTTAGTGTTGTTAATGGTTCACAGTGTTTTATTTGGCTGTGGTTTTTATGTTTGGAACCCCTTGCGAACCAACTCGGTTGATCTTAGAAATGTGACAGAAAAATACAATAAATAAGCATGTCTTATAAGATTTGAGAAACTGCATCCAAATAAAAGTACAGATTTTTCTCTCTAATATCATTGAGTAATGTTTGAGTAATAAAATACAACTTGCAATCATCTCCTGACATAAGTCTTCCTATTTGGCTCTAAGCAGAGCAATAGAGATAAAAGTCTGTACGGGACTTACTGGTTTATATATTGGCAGTTTTAGGTTAAGTGCCTCTATAGAATGAAAAAGACCATATACAAGCCTGAGTAATTTTTCTTTCCCTTTCTTCTTGAGCATTACATGAGAACCATTAGCATCTCACCCAAGTGCTGTTTATGTACTACATGGGGTTTCATAAGGCACAGCAGCTGGTGATTCTCTGCTATAGCAAGCTTGCTTTTCAGTGGCCTTTAGCCAGCTGAATGTTGGCAACCCCTTGAATGTAATCTTCTAAATCTTGCATAAATAGGAAGCGTGTATCCAGGCACATACTTAATATTTGCTAGACAAAAGGGTTGCCAAAAATGTGTGGGAGATTGAAGTTGTTGCTCAGTCTGTTGGTTCTGGTGGTACTTAATGTATGTTTGGACTTTCTTACTCAGTTGCATGACTTGAATGTTAACCAAATTGGAATAGGCAGAGTGTAGGGCGTTTACATCTTCTTTATCTGGTGGGAGCAAGATATCTTGCCACAAGATCATGAGAAGTAGAAAAGAGACTCTGTTTGTTTATTATTGCATATTTCTGTTTAGTCTGGAAACAAATATTGTTATGTGCAACCATGCTTAGTGATGAAAAATTCCCCGTGTTTATCCAGGTTTGGAAGGAAATCACTAGAGATCTCTTGGCATTCTGTGACACTTGTGTTTGTATAAAGATATACAGGTTGTGCTCAGGTGGAAACATAAACATCAGTGGACCAGTTCTGGTCCTCTTGCATTGGCTTCCAATAGGCTTCCAAGCCAAGTTCAAGGAGTTAGATGCTACCTATAAGGGCTTATAAGGTTTAACAGAGACCTTCTACCAACTGCACTCTACCAGGACACTACCCTCAACAATCCAGGGCCCTTTTTCTGAGTGCCAACTCAAGGGGAAGCTCAGAGGACAGCTCCAGTAGGAAGGGCCATCTCTGGAATGCATCATCACTGAAGAGCTGGTGGCACTGTTCATATTGCTGGTCAGTGTAATGTCCTGGGGTTGGAATCTGGGGATGGCACCCCCAAAACTTGAGTCATCTAGTCTGTTGGGTTGATCAAGTAAAATACTAAACTGAGCCACTGAGATGCATGCACGCTTGAAGTAAAATGAGCATTTAAAAGGATCAGTGTGTTGCATGTGCGTGACTTTTTGTTGACTTGTTTCTTTTCCATAAATCAGGCTACCCAGTACATGGAACTGATTTCAAAGGAAATGCAGCCAGTGGCTGGGACAGAAGGTGCTTATTATCGTCGCAGGAGGTTGATGAGACAACTTCCTATTTATGATCAGGACCCCTCCCACTGCCGGGGCCTTCTGGAGAATGAAATAAAGTTGATGGAAGACTTTGTAAAGAAATACAAAAATGAAGCTCTTGGCGTTGGAGAAGTTGCTCTGCCAGGTCATGGAGGAGCCACCAAGGAAGAAGGAAAGCAACCTGATAAGAACACTCCTGAAAATAAGGAAGCTGTTTCAACCAATGGAACTCTGGGTGATGCGTCAAAGGGGCTGGAATTGGTAAGTGCTTGGTGGTGTTGCTGGAGCTTTAATGTGCATCACATCATGATGGGAAGTTGCATAGATGAGCAATTGTACAGATTTTGGCTCTTTTTGAGGCATTATCCCTTGGCCAAATCCCCCTGGATTTTTAGAAGGAAATTTTTAACAAGATCATCATGGTGTCACTGCATTAAATATGGCTGCTGCGATACACGAGCACTTGTTGAGAAGTAGAAGGATGAGTAGAAGTTAAAGACTGAGATAAGATGAATGTGGAGGGGAAGACGCGAGAAGGTATGAGCTCCAAGACCAGCTTCTTTCAGCTTTACAATATCCTCTCTCGTTGTTGAAAACACAGTAGTCGAGAGGACAGTTTGGGCTTCAGATATCTCACTGACCACAAAATCACAGCTGTATCCCTCTGCTCAAATTAGTTGCTGGTGCAGCTTTTCCCAAAGCTGGGTCTATGGAGCTAAGAAGTGTAAGAGGTGGTTGAGAGAAGAGGGTATAAAAGGAGAGGGAACATTCCTGCTCTTTTTCTACTTTTTGTATTGTTTGCTGAATATAGCAGTGGCTCAGTCTGGGCAGAGATCATTTTAATTCCTCCTCTTGGCAAAAAGCAACTTAGTAACTGAAGGCAAAGGCTTCCACTCAAAGCATTTATGAAAACTATCTTGGCATGGAAGGTTTATTTTGACTGCAAGTTCATCCCTCTGAGTAAATACATATCTGTGGTGTTTATTCTCCAGAAGGATTTAAAGCTTTATTTTTTCTTTGGGCAGAAATGGAAAAGTTGAATTCTTTGAAAAATAATTACAAAAGCTCCATTTGTGCAAATGTTGCAGAGAGCTAAACTCAGAGGCTGCTCTGTAAAATTCCATGGAAGGGTTTTGCCTTCCGAAAAATAACATTACATTTTTGTGGACTAGTAATATAACAACGGTTTAGAGGTTTGCTTGTTTGTTGTAATGAAGTAGCCTCGGTGCAATTCCACAAGTGTGCATTTATAATATCCTTGTAAAACCTCACAGGATAATAAATATTGACAATTACCAAAGAAAATTACTATCCCCAAGTGTAACTGAATTCCTGTGGGGTTCTTAAAAATCTAGTTTTAAACTACACTTGCGTTTTCTAACTTTTTGGAATATGTGATGAACTTGGCAGGAAGCATCCAATTACACTGGTTTCTGAGAACTTTTTACAACTGCAGTTACTGTTTTCATAGTAGTTTCACAAAGGGCACCTTAAAGATGTGTGATGAATCTACTGTTACGCTTTTCATATCATGGGTCGCTTTCCTCATTCAAAGCCCTTTTTCCATTGCTCATTCCTCCTAATTCTCACTTCTTGGGGTGATAGGGAGATGCCACTACAGGGTTAAATCAGGCATTCCTGTGCATGAAGCAAATTCCAGACAGTAGTACCTTTCTTAGAAATAACCAAATGTGCCCCAAATTATGGGGAAGGTGGGATTCTGAGAGCTCCAGTTCGCATCATCAGGGTAAGGGGCTAGAAAGAATGGGATGAGCAAAAATCAGAGGACAGCTGCTCTTTCATATTAGTGAGCACAACCAAAATCATACAAATATAAAGGCATTAAATAGAAAGGTATCTCCAGACAAGGCTGTGATGTTGCAAAAGTTCTTCCTCAAATGCCAGATTTTACAGTGGTCTGGACATAGTCTTCAATTTGCCACAGCCGTCTGTGTTCTTACCCTTCTTGGGGTGAGGACAATGTGATGCTACCACCAAAAAATTATTACTGCACAGTGCTTTTTGACTGGTAGTATCTTGAAGTTGGTTGCACTCACAAAAGTGTGGACCTTGATACACTTCTCCATCCTTGTGAGCTTCCTGGATATAAAAGGCAACATGCCTGGCTAGAGTTTTACATTTGTGAATAATATATTTAGGATGGCTTTTATGCTCAGCCTAGTATTCTAAATAATTCATACTATGCATCCAGTTCTTTGTTGATTGAGCTATCTGATTAAGACAGAGGGCACTAAACTGCATACATGGAATCAATGTTATTTTAATGCAGTTTTATTTTGAACTGGGAGCTTTCTGTGTGCTAGCTGAGAATTAACTTCTGCTCTGCCTATTTTAACTTGGCTCTGTTTAAAGGAAAATTAGTTTCACAAAAAGGAGGCAAAGCCATAAAAACCTACTGGCTTTCCATCCAGCGTGAAGCAGCTAATCAGAATTAATTTCTGTTCCAATGTATTTCTTTCCGCCAACGGCAGACCTATAAATACTAACTAACCCTAAATACCAACACTTGTTCAACCACAAGCACTTCAGTTTTCAAAGCATAACAAAGAGAATGCTGATGCCTGTGCCAAGTCTTGAAACCATTTGGACTGGGGAAGAACTGACTAAAATGGCAGTCTTACGCACGGTTACTCGAAAGAAAGCCTTTTTGGGACTTGCTGCCAGGGAAGGGTATATCAGGTGGCACCCTAAATCTCCCTGGATAACATTTTGGAGCTGCTGTTCAATACAATACAGTTTTATGACAGTCTGAGATAAAGGTGAACTAGTATTGCTGAATGGCTACATTTGCTATAAGTATGCTTGCTATTAGAGGAAAGCTATTTAGTCAAACACACCAAGCAAGGAATCTTGTTCTGAATATTTAAATTTGAAATCAAAGTAGAGGCTTGAATTTTGAACACATTGTAAGTTAATATTTTTATATATTCTATATTTTTAACTGTCAATTACAAACATTTCTCTGTCTTTAGAAGAGCTATGGTGTGTTAAAATTTCCCAACCAGAATAGTAAAATAGTTTAAATAAAAAGGCTAGTCTAAAGCTTTGCTGAAGAAAATTCATATAGTAACCATGTCTTTCTGAGTCATACCTTAAATTCTCTTAGAAAAATCATGACTTTGGAGTTTAAACAAAAGTATTCTGCAAAAACGTTCTACTGTTGTCCGAGTCTAGTTTCACAGGGAAAGGGTAGTTTGTGTATGCCTGCACAAAGGAGGGATGTCCTTGGGGAATCTACTTATTTTCATTTTCTGTGCAATGAAAACATTTCTTATAAATATTATCTAAGGACGGCTTTATTGGCATGCATTAAACTGCATGCTAAAAATACATTTCCACAATGCAGTGCCTTTCCCTCCAGTTGGGACAATGGACGCCTTCATTTGTCTATGTTAGTTTTATCTTGAAGAATACAACTTCTTTTTGTATTCACAATTAAGATATTGTATTCTTAATGTCTGTGCCCCTGTATGTCTCTTTAGGAATCCAGTTTCCCATTTTTGGTAACTGTTCCACAAAAAATAGTTCAAGTAAGAAATTAAACATCTGGGCATCTTACTGAAAAGCTCTTCAAAATTTTTGTATTTGGACTGGATGAATGAAACAAGCAGTCAATTACTCTTATTAGCATCTATAACTATATAATATAAATTTGTACACAACCTGATATTTTTATGGGTCTTTCTGCTCAAACTGTCAGTGTCATAGAAGAGGGTACAAAGTGACACAAGCGTTGAAATGAACAGGAAATGCATAGAACTTAATTTCCTTCTGAATTATGTAAATAGTTTGAAAGCATTCGTTAGGGTGCAGGACAGAAATTCCAATAATGTTATTAGTATTTTTTTAATTCTGTCAATTCTTTTTAATTCACTTACCTATTTTTAACCAGTTTATGGGATGGCACATCCTCCTAAAATTAGAATGGATTTTTAATCCATTTTTGCCATACCTGTACCTAGTATAGTGCATACCTGCTTACATCCTCTGGTGTATGTGGGTATGGGTAGATTAAAACAAACATTCCTCTTCTAGTTGGAAGAAATATGTCCTTCTTACCAGCTGTGCAGAGGCCTTCTTGGATATCTGTATTTAGGGAGATGTAAAGAGGCCAAGGGGCATTCTAGAAAGAACTTAAAACACTTCTGCCATCTTTGGAGAGGCACAACCAAGGAGTTTTAATTTGTTTGCAAGATTAATTATTTCTGCTGGAATCCATTTTATTCTTATGGCTGCTTCTGACTTACTGTTTGTTTGTTCAGACCCCAGTGCTGTTCACAAGCTGGCCGTAATTTGCAGCTAGTACTTATATTCGTAAAACCTTATTTCTGAACTGTGTTCATGCTTTGCAGAAATGCATTTCTGTGATTCATTAATGAGAGCAGAAGATATAAATGTTTAAATATGTTCTGGTTCAAACATATTCTTGAGCTTGGCCTCTAAACACAAGAAAGAATAATTGTTTTTGTCCTGCACACTGCCTTGAAGGCTTTTGGAAATCTAGCTGTGGTATCTGCTTTGCTGTTAACCGCAGATCACAGTAGTCTCTGATTCTCATAGGAATCTTCCCAGCAGCTAGCAGAAGAGGCATGTGTCTCTCTGCTGTGGTGCCGATTTACACATTAAGCCAAGTCCAAAGTACATGTATACACTGGAAGGCTGTTTTACATACTTCCATTTGGAGGATCCAGCATATTAGAGCCTACAAGCTGGTCTAACATTAGACTTTGAGTAAATGTTGGTCATGCTTGACTATGAGCTGAGCTAAGTGGTGCCTAACAGTGCCTTCCTTGTGGACTCCTCTAGTTCTGTGACCTCTGCAAGCTCGCGCTCCCCGCGGAGTGCCCCGTGGTGTACGCAGACCGAGCCGGCTATGACCACCAGTGGCATCCTGCATGCTTTGTGTGCTCCAAGTGCTCTGAACCACTCGTTGATCTGATCTACTTCTGGAAGAATGGGGCCCTCTGCTGCGGACGCCATTACTGTGAGAGCATCAGGCCACGCTGTGCGGCCTGTGACGAGGTAGGAGCGCCGAGGAAATGGGGGCCTCCTTGTGAGTGGGGCTTGGCTCAGGCCGTAGGAATGACAAAGCTGCAAGGAGAAGCAGGCCCCTGTCCAAAACCCTTGGCTTTCTCCTGGCTCCTCAGCACTGTCTGTGTGTGACTGTGTTAGAATGCAGTTTCAGATGTGCTGTGTGTTCTTGTAGGGGGTGGCACCAAGGAATAACCATTTGGTCTGGGATTTTTCCCTGGGATTTTACCACCATCAACTCTCATATCAAGATTCTACTTCTGTTTTTGTTTTACTGCATATTCCCCAGAATTAGGGCAAAAGGTGCATTCTGTCAGCTGAGCCGCCCCTTTTTCCCCTTGTCTAAATCTCCCCATGGGACTCTATGCTCAGTCTCTGGGGCCTTCCTCTGAGTGCCAGCCCCCGGAGCGGCTTAGAGGATGGGAACCAGGAGGAGGGGCTTTTCTGTGGTCCCCCCAGCTCTCTGCCTTGGCCCACCTGGGACCCAATTTCCCATCTTTTCGGTGCCAGGTCAAGACAGCCCTCTATGCAGAGGCCTTTAAAAATCCCCTCGGTCATGCAGAGCCCTGAGAGAATTATCCTGGTAATTCTGCTTGCTGGGTTTTTAATTTTTTAATTATATTTTAAAGCTATTTAAAATTAATTTTAACTCTTTAGAGTGCTGTTTTATCTTACTTGTATTGCTTTTTATTGTTTTATACCTTGTTGTAAGCTGCCAGCTTTGGATACAGAGAGGTATAGAAATGAAAATAATAATAAGGGGGATGCTGGAACAGATTCTACATTTCAATACCACAAGATTTAGAAAATACCCCGCGTGTTTCAGCTCAAGGTCTGTTACGTGCTACCAGCCACTCGCTCTTACTGCAGCAAAAGGAGAATGAGCAGTGGCAGGGTGGTCTCCCACTAGCCTTGATGCTCTTCTTGGGATACGGGACGGGGCAGCCCTCTCTGGCCGGCCAGTGCATGAGACCAGAACCTGCCGTCCCAGCTCCGTTTCCCTTCAGGCAGGGAGGGGTGCAGTGAGCCCCCCGCAGCTGCTCTGTCTGGCTGATGTGTGTGGCTAGGCCGGGCTCCCCTCCACCATGATGTTCTTGGCCTTTGGTTCTCTGTCCAGTAGATGAGGCCAGAGTGTTCATTTGCAGGGAAGCATCATGTGAATATGAGGAGTGGGGCAAACTCAGTAGAACAGAGCGAGAGAGATCAGAGACAGGCTGATACGAGGGACTTTCATGGGACCCAAACTACTCAGGACAAAAGCTTGCTGAAGCTGCATATATGTCTAGAGAACCCCACAGAGGACAGGGAATTTGAACTATATGTAAATACTTGTACACACAACCATTGTCATGTTGTAGCATTTTGTATCAAATGCAATTTCTGTAAAACCTGAATCTAAACATAAACTGTTTTTGCAACTTTGCATGAACCAAGCCCAAACCTTCCCCAAGTATTTGTTTACACACTCACTAAGGAAGACCCTTGCCATGAGATGCTAAATAGATGTCTTCATTACTCTGTTTCTGATATGTGGTTTGGCTTGTCAATTACGGTGTGTGCCTTTCATAATGAAGCCGTTATAGGCTTTGGCTAGCTCTAGGAAGAGTATGACATGATAAATGGGGCTGTTTATTTCTGCAGATAATATTTTCTGCGGACTACCAGCAAGCTGAAGGCCTCACCTGGCACAAACAACACTTCACCTGCCTGGAGTGCGAGACCTTGCTGACTGGCAAACCCTTCGTTCTGGATGCAGCCCGCCTGCTGTGTACAACCTGCAGTAAAAACAAGCATCCTTAAACAGCATGTTTCAATCCCCGGCGTTCCTGTTTACTGACTCAACCCAGATTTGAATCAGTGGAAAAGACGGGGTGGGGTGGGGTGGGGTGGGAGGTAAGCAAAGAAGTCACTTCATACTGGATTCAGACAACCATGGCTATTCACAGCCCAGTAATTATAGGAAATGAGATTGGAAATGCTAACATGGTAAGAAACACTCTGGGATGAAATGTAGAGAATGGAATGTTCTAGTTCTTTTAGGGAGACATTAAATGTAACTAAATATACTGGAAACCAGGATACATCTTCAGTTATTCATTGGCAGCATGTTGCAAAATCAACTGATCTAGAAACATGAAAGTTCCTCATTTTGCTGTTAGCTTTTGCTACTTTTCTTGTTATAAAAGTGCTGCATTTGTCAATTGAACCATCCCATGCTAACATCAGCCACATTTCTAGCTTTAAAGGAGCAATACAGGTGGGAAAGCATATGTAAGCATTGACAAGAGGATTCTCCCTCCCCATTGTTTAGTGTAATGGCCAACTTCTCAGATGTAATGTATTTAACATAAGATGTCTATTAAAACATGATTATAGTTTGGATACATTTAGGCCCCTACCAAATGACACTCTAAACAGAAAGACTTGTTCAGGAGAATTGAAATAAATAAATAAATATTCCAACTGGCATTAAAAAAATATCTAGCTATATTAAAGCAGAACGTGTTCAATAGACTTTCTTGTAATGGATAAACAATTCCCAGCCTTCAATAGGTTGTAATGTTCCTCTATCATAAATGTAAAAGTGATCCATGGGGAGTGCCTCTTGTAAGCAGCTACCATGGAGTGAGTAATAGATAGAGGTTCGGTGCACACCAGTGTCCTGATCCTGTTGAAGCGCCACTTAGTTTTTTTCCCTGAGAGAAATCGTGCCAAATCAGCAGGAGCACCTTGCTGGAACATCGTGCCAGCAGGAACACCTGCCTCTTGACCCACATGCAGTGGTGGCAGTGAGACCAGTTCATGTGGGCGCAACAGGAGTCAGTATCTCGCCTAGTTCCATAGTGGGTAAGCCGTGGCCCTCCCGATGCTGGACTGAACCTCACCAGCCCGATGTGGTATGGCCAGTATGACAGAAGTTGCAATCCAATATCAGGCAGTGGGTTACCTGCTCCTGGTCTACTCCATTATTTTTCTATTCTCATCTTAATGGATTCCAGTAGAGATATGGAGAGTTCTTATTTTGCCTGTTATTTGTAATGGGGTTTTTGTCAGCCTGAACTGTAAGGGCTTTGAAGATAGCATATAGTAATGAACGAGGTTAACTTCCTCCTAGATGTTGCCCTGACACAACAGGAAGGTCTTAGTTGTTATGCTTTGGAACATTTGAAGTCTAACTGCTCCCTCTTCTTTTTTGCTGAACCCTTGGAGAGCAAGGGTTGCATTGCTTATGTAGGTGTTTTTTCAATTTACACAAAGTAAGCCCATTTGTAATGTTTAAGTCCTAATAAGTTAACAGATAAACATTTTGTTATTAGTCCTCTAAACATCATTTGGTTTGGTCATCAAGTAACAATGACCAGTTGCATTACAGACATTTTTGATGATTCAGTAGGAACAGAAATTACTTGAGTTGGACAACTGGAAAATCTGAGTCCCTCTGATTTTAGATATAACACTTATTAGACACATGCATTTTATTTTCAGGTGTAATGATTCTGTGACTGCCCTAGAACCATTATGGAAACTTGTGTTACATAGGAGCTCCATGTATGCAATTGAGTAACACAAGAATCTCCAGTAACTTAAAAGTTTTGCAGGTGCAGAAGAACCACCTCCTATTTGAATAGGGATATGTTCTCATGTACAGGAGTTTGATGGACCTTTGGCGTGTATGCAGTGAGTCTCAGTATGGAAAGTAAAGTCTGAAATCTGTTTGTGCAGTAAGAGCATCTCATAGGGAACAGGGAAAAAATCTGATTCTCTTAGACCTTTCCTAGCATGAAGTACTAAGAATGAGAGTTAATATAACAGGAATGTATGTGCAAAGCCCATTGAAATGTGTACCTGTGAATGTAATCAGGCTATGTTCGTTGCAATTATATTTATTTGCATGTGCAAATTTCTTGGCGGATTCTGCCATGAGGCTGAAGCCCACATTTGATTAAGAATATATTTTGTTTCATTTCATTTGCTCACTGGACCTATTTTTAAATAGGTGTTAAAGGACTAGAACAAAAATGTATAGCTTGTCAATGGCAGATTATAACAAAACTGTAATTTTAAAAGAAATTGGCACATAAGTAGCACTTCTTAGCAGATGGTCACTGTTAAACTTTGTATAAAATGTTCTTGTATAATAAAGTCCCTTCATGATATAAAGATAATTATTGTGAAATCAATACAGCACTTTGATATCTTTGAAATGTTAAGAATCAGTTACTAAAATATACCCAAATAGTTCTGATATTGGCATCTCTATAAACCTGTAAACTCTTCTCCAACCAAGTATTGTGGGGGTAGAATTTTGAATTTTTCAGAGTGGTAACTTGGATCCAATCTACATGTTTTGCAGAACAAGCAGGCAGTCAAAATCTTTGCTGTCCCACTTAAGGCTGACGGTAGGAGATGGTATTTCTGGATGGTTCTGTCTGAATGAAGTAAAGGAAGTGTTCAAAATTCTGCCACACTGTCTTGACTTACATGGAGCTCAGCTGCTCTGCAGTTTGCTCTGAAAATAGATATAAACATAAGGGCAAATTGGCCGTAGCCAGCACTGGGGAAGGCAGGTAAGCCTATGTGTAGACTGAAACATGTCTGCCCACCTTGTTTGCGTTGCAGGCATCCACAGCAAGTGTAATGGCAGTACAGCAAATGAGGCATGACCAGGCCCAGGAAAAATAGACCAGCAGCTGCACCTGTTCTCCTACATTCAGTATAAATGGCAGCAGAGCAGCAAAAGCACACCTCTTTTGAATCACCTGCATAGCAGCAGAATAAAGGCAGAACCTTTTACTTGGTGTAAGGCCAGTTTGAACTCAAAGATGCTTACTTGCAAATAAAAATTTGAAGCAGAGCCTCCTCCACTGCCCATCAAATTTACCTTTTCTTATTAAGTGTTCGCTATATTATCCTTAGGATGCGCCCTTGAAGTTTAATACAAAATTCATTTTAATTCAGGTTGCTGGATTTTATACCTGGTAACTTGGAAATATCTCTGCAGGTTCAATGAGACTTTCTCCCTCATTGAAGGCTTAAAATCATGTCAAGGTAACACTGGTGTTTCATTTGTGTCCGTGCCACCCTTGGAAGTCAGCACAGGAGCATGAAGAACACTCAGCCCCACCTCTGCCTTGTGCTCCATCTTTGGGGCAAGTTAGTTGCCTTTGCCATGCCTCCCTTGGCAGCCATTGTGTGATAGAGCAAGGCACGTTCTTAAATTGCCGGATGTGTCCCAAAGGTTGCCTACCTCTGCACTCGATTCTGTACTTTGAAGAATATGCAGTTCCTCCCTTCACTGTCCAGGTGTGTCTGATGCTATCTGGGATGTGTTTGCTCAGATATCTTTGGGAATTTCCTTGTAGAGGAACATCAATAATGGTCATTGACCAGTAAACTGTCCCCCTCATGGTTTCCTTATTCTCATTTATGTCTTCAATAACTCTGCAAGAGCCAATTTTAGCTATTTCAGGATAAAGGTAGGGGAGTGATGATGCTCCCAGATGCTGCTGCACTTCAGCTTCCATCATGCCTGTCCATTAGCCATGTTGACTGGGCCTGATGTGAGTGGAACTGAACAACACTGGGACAGGGAAACAGCACGGGGCACTAACCCTCCCATGTTTGCAGCATTTTGTAAACTCTTCAGGGTATATTTTCCCAATCTGGATGTCAATCGGATTGCTAGGGAGTGCACAATTAAGTGTGTGAGTTTAATTTTATTTTATCGAGGTGTTAACCATTCTATGGATTCTTCCTAATAGCTTCTGCATGTCAGTGACATGTGAGAGCTGCAATCAATTTTGAAACAAGTTAAGCATTCTTGGCAGTAAATTTGGGGAGATAAACTTTGTAACTGTCCATATTTTGAGGAGTGTGCATTTATTCTACCACAAATTAGAAATGCAGTCATGATGCATCTCTTTCTGGACAGGGAGCAACATGAACTCTGTGGAGCCCCTCCCTCTCCAGGCAGCTGTTGACTGGCATTGGAACTCCTGCTTCTTCGCTGCCTTTGTCCAGCTATGGTTCTTCCCAGATCAAAAGCAACTCAGGCCCCCGAGGCTGGATGAGGGCAGCCAAGCACTCCCAGCCCCGCCAGCATTCCCAGCCCGGCGTATGCGTGCCAGGCAGTCCACATAGAAGACTCTGTGCTAATTTTTTTACTGCGTAAGAAGAGATTGCAGATTGCAGCCTTAAGCATTGTGTCAGCTTTTGGTCACCTGTTAGGAATCTCATCTAAGACAGGCCATACATCCCTGTAAGTGGCTCAGGGTGGATCATACCACTGGTGCAATCTCTAATGCAAAATGTGAAGTCTGGGGATTTAAACTGCTGACGTGTGAGCAGCATAGGATATACTGGCTTGAAACCAATTTGGTCTATCTGCCTGCAGAATGGAAACTGCTGGCTAAAGACTTCCCTCCCAGTGCATCCCTTATTTTTTAAGGGGGGTTGCAGGGGCTCCCCCTACAGCAGAAGCAGCACAGGGAAAGCAGGAGAGAAGACAGAGAACAGCAAGGGAAATCCCTCTTAAACTAAGCTGGATCTAAGTCTGAGCTTGCAAACAGGCAAGGTCACCAGAGGGCTGGGAGAGGAAACCTCTTGCACATCTCTGGCAAGTGGAAGTCACTAAGTTCTGATTCGCTGGACACTGTGGTGCTTTGGGAAATATTGCCCACGGAATTTTAACAATCATTTTGAGGGGCTCCAATTCAACCAGCTCCTGCCAGGTTTTGCAAGCCACTCCTCTGCCCTCTGATGGGGACTGCAGGGGGCTGGAACTGGGCAATTGTGCCAATCACCTCAAGATACTGTGTGTGTGAAAGATAGAATAATATACTGATATTGGCTTCAGCTAGCGGATGGTATTGAAAATCAATAGATGTTGCTTAAGATCTGTAAGCTTAAAATATCTAACACCCCCTTAAAGTTAACTTGAGAAAACACTGAAATGTTTGTAAATGCTTAAATCTTCAATAAATGTTAAAAAATAAAAGCTTTTTGAAAACATGTCCATCTGTGTTACAAATATTTGGACATTTGTGCCGAAAAGGATCTGGTAGAGAGAAAGGCCAGACTCCAAAGGAAAGTGGATAGAGTCCGTCCTTTATAGTTCCCCATTGATATTACACCTGGTGTCTTATTTGTAATGAGATGGTAATCTAATAAATTTGGTCTGCATGGAATTGAAGCTTTTAAAATTATTATTCATTTTGTATATTCAGTGGACACTTAGTTATAAAGGATGCTTAATATTTACTACCATTTTGCACAAAGATACTGTATACAGATACATTCCTTGGTTGTATTGCATTATGTATGCAAGACTGAAGCCCATAAGCTAAGGGAGATGACAAGCTACATATCAGGTGGGCAACCAGAGGTTTTGGCCTGTGGCCAAACCTCTGGAGAGCCACAAGTTGCCCTTTCCTAAGATAAATGAATGCTCTTATACAGCAATATTTGAGATCCCCGTACCATATAGGCATGCTATACAGAGCAGTTCCTAACGGCATTTCTTCATTATGTGGGGGGGCACCCTTTTTTTTTTTTTTTTTTGTCTGCTGAATCTGAGAGGTGGAACCACCAACAGCTTGGCTTACTGGCCTTTGGCTTACTGTTTGGACAGTGACCTCAGCAGAGCAATCGGTGGCTGAGTGCATTCCTGTGAAAGTGAGATAACATGGAGCAAAGGGATGAGAGGAAATGCTCTGCTCAAGTCCGAGGGAGGACTTTTGTGTGACCTCATCTACAGAAGACACCACTCAGTTCTCAGCAAAACCCTGTTTTAGACCAGATCACCACTCGTTACACCAATGTGGTTCTGGATTAGCTTCATTTTATTGGCCACTCCAATAAGGGAGGAGAACTCCCTTAATAATAAATAAACGCTAGGAGCTATAATAAAGAAGCCTTTGAGAGCAGACGTGGTGTGCTGGTGAAGAGTATGGGACTCAGATGATCTGGTTCTAGTCTCCGCTCAGCACTGGATCTCACTGGTCCCTTTGGGCCAGTCACAGACTTTCGGCCTAACCTATCTCACAGAGTTCTTGCTGTGAGGATAATTAGAGAGGAGAAAACCTTGTAAGCTGCCTTGGGTTCCCTGCAAGAGGAAGAAAGGAAGGATTTAAATGTAACATCATCATCATCAATGGTAACATCAACTAGGGAGTGCCACAACCAAACAGAAGGATTCACAGGGTTGCTGTTGTGAGGATAAGATTTAGAGGAGAAGGAGAATAATGTAAGTGGCCCTGAGTTCCTTGGAAAGAAAAAAGTGATATACAAATATAATAAACGTACGTGTGTGTGTGTGTGTGTGTGTGTGTGTGAGAGAGAGAGAGAGAGAGAGAGAGAGAGAGAGAGAGAGAGCGCATGCACCGAAATAGGAACAGTGCTGCCCTCAGTTTCTTCTTACTGAATAAAGCTCTCCTTAAAACAGAAATATTGCTACAAAGCCGCCTGTGTCTCAGGAGCCCGGCAGAACAATTTCTGTTCAACAGACATCATATGAAAAGGCAAGTATACACTGCAACCAAATGGAAATTCAGTGGTGGCTTCAGTCTGCCAAACCTGTTTTCCCCTTCAGATGTGAAATTACTCTGTTTTTCTTCACCAAAGATGCTGGAAAATCAATTCAGTTTGTAATTCAGAGAAATCTGAAATCTGTGACAACTGCCAATCACTTAGCTCGGTAGGATGAGCGCAGCTGTACAGTGGCAACCGTAATTTGGTGTTCTCAGTCATCCCAGTGTGAGGATTCCATTGACTTCTATGGAAACCTCCCATGGAGCAGGAAGTGTGAGAGAGTTGCCTCTATGCTGTGCTTACAGAGGATCTCTGATCATGCGGGCAGGGGATGGCTTTCCGTGATGGCCCCACTGCAGATGGTGGAATCCACAGGCTGATTTCAGGTTGCCCTTGAAGACCATGAGATGATGTATGAAAGGCCCAAGGATCCACAGCTTTTCTCATCTACCTGATCACAGACACCCAAATTCCAGGATGCAGAGTGTCATGAGCACAGTTTTCCTCCCTTCACACATCTTGGGCAACAGACCATTTCTTTGCAAAAAGCACTTTACTGGGAAAAAGAAAGCAGTCACAAAAACAGCCGTGCCCAGTCAGACCAAGGCCCACCCAGTCCAGCATGATGCGCCCCCTGTGGCCAACCAGATGTCTGCAGGAAAGCTGCAAGAAGGACAGGAATGCAACAACACTCTTGTCCTCCCAGTCCTGTTTTGCAGCAGCTGGTACACCGAAGCATCCGGCTTCCAATACCAGAAGCTGCCCACCACCATCCTGACAGGCAGCCATCGTTAGCCCTGTGAGCTTGCCCTAGATGAAGTGGCTTCCACTTACACAACAGACATTCCTCTTCTGCATGCCTTCCTGCAGCCCCCCATGTGCTTTGTAAATATTCTCTAGGGAGCAGATTTGTGGGTCAGGGAGGTGGGGAGAGAGGGAACCTCCGTCTTCTAGCAATGTCCATTTGACTGGCAGAAGGACATCAGTGGAAGCAATCCACATCATTTATCAAAGAAAGCTCATCCCAGTGGAAAGAAAGCGGTTCTAGGGAGCTGCGTTTCTGTCTTTCTCTAGGAGCTTTTCTACATGAGGCTCTTAATTCAATGACTCCACTTTCTGTTTCATCCCAGGATTGAAATCTACAGGAAGAACATGTCCTTTCCTTCCTTTCTGCTCCATAACCTTCAGCTGGCTCTGTGGTTTTGTGGAATAGCACAATTATATGAGTGGAAAACACTTTATTTTACTTATGCAAAGCATACTCATTTTCCCTGCTCTAAAAAATCACCAAGATGTGGTTTAAAGCAGAGAAGAAACTGGACGGTCATGGCTTCATCCAAAGAACCCTAAACAACCCTGAGTGGGGCCCAACAAGTGCACAACGAATATCTCCTACAGAAAAGTGCTCTCCCTTGCATGGTCCCACAGACCACAAGGTTCCTAAGCATCTGCTCTCAACTTGAGCGAGCATCCACACTTTTGTGTAGAGGGCCTTCAGAGATTTGCCAGTGCTTAAATTCTTGGTCATGCCTTATGCCTCCATTTTAATTCACTCCAGTTCAAAGCAGACCACTATTGTACACTTTAGCTGTTTTATTTGAATTTTGATTGTGGTCTTTGAAACATTAAGCTCAGTTTTACACACTGTCAAAGGACATCACTAAATAAACATTCTGATCCTACAACAGATTTGTTCGATAGTATGGTAGCCTCCAGGGCAAATTGTGTTTTGGCAAAGCAAGCAAAAAAACCTAAACTGACTGGCACAGCTCAATTAATCAAAAGAGAGAAATGTAATACCCTCATCTGTTTCACATTGGCCACTGCAGACTGGAATTATAACCAGACTTTTTCCCCCCATCCTCCCCTGGTGCTGTGTGAGACAGATTCATGGCTCGGTGAGAAGAATTGACTGATTTAGAAAAGACTGGTTTGGGTTTTGCTGTGGGTAATTAAAATGTGGGAAAACAACGTAGTATTAAGAGAAAACCCAGAAAAGAGAGAGAGAGAGAGAGAGGGAGAGAGAGAGCAATTTTATTAAGCAACAGAACAGCTTGAGGTTTTGCACATGATGGGTTTTACAAAGAATGATTTATTGTACCGAGCTGTGTTCAGCCACCTATCTTGGAGTCCCAGTATTTAAAGGGTACTTCATAAGCTCTCAATCAAAGGGAATCTTCTGTGAAGTTTACTTGTCTGAAAATATCAGAGAGACAGAGCTTGACATTGTAATTAACTGTGTTTTGAATGTAAAACAAAAGTGCTAGAAAAGTGAACAAAAAAGGAGGTACATTAGGAAAGCGTGGCTTCTGATTAATTTAAGAAAATGATACGCTAAACAAGGGCATGTTACTCTACAAAGGGCCCAATGGAAACATAATCTAGAGCAACTATTCTGATCTAGATCTAGAGCAACTATTCTGAGGATCAAGAGCCACTTACAATCATCTGCCCAGGAAAAGTCTTCCTTGGATGCAAACATCTTCTGTGACTTGACACTGATGCTCAGTGGCATAATGTCCAGCCAGATGGGCTGGTTGTTTATGTCACCACTGCAGACCTGCAACACGGCAAAAGCCACAGAAAGGCTGAGAACATCTTACAAGACTTCCATGTTCAGATGGGCAAATTTGTCAAGCTCATTTTGTTAATTTTCCCAATGCAAAATTCATTCCATCCCAGTTCCCCCTATTTTGATTCACATCAGACTATATAGGTATTTCTTGCACAATTGATGAGTCTGAGGACACACTTTTTCAAATTTATGCATTGTTTGTTGGTTCTCCTGGACCTCTCAGAAGATTTTGATGCCATCAACCATAGTATTCTTCTAGACAGGTTAGTCGAGTTGGGAGTAGGAGGTACCACTTTGTAGAGGCTCTGCTCCTACTTGGCTGACTGTGTCCAGAAGGTGGTGCTGGGATATTATTGCTCTGCACTGTGGCATTTATGCCATGGAGTTCCAAGGGCTCTCTCTTATCCCCAGTGTTCTTTACCATCTACATTAAACCATTGGAAGAGATCACCAGAAGGTGTGGGCTGAGATGTCATCAGTATGCTGATGGCACTCAACTCAACTTTTCTTTTTCATCTCACACATGTGTGGTAATGGAAGTTCTGAATCAGTGTCTGGCATCAATAATGTGTTGGTTATGAGCTAATAGACTGAAACTTAGTCCAGATTAGATGGAGCTGCTGTTGGTGGGGGAATTGTCTCTTCAGATGGGTGACATCTTGCCTGTCCTGGACAGGGTCACACTTCCCCTAAAGGATATGGGTTGCAGCTTGGAGTGCTCCTGGACCCTGAATTAGCACTGGAATTCCAGAGAGAATTTGTGGTCAGGAATGCTTTTTATCAGCTAAGGCTGATATTTCAGCTGCAGCCATATCTAGACAGGCAGGATCTAGCAACAGTTTTCCATGAACTGGTAACCTCTCACCTGGATTATTGCAATGTGCTTTACGTGCAGCTTCCCTTGAAG